TCTGGTGACTAACCTGAATGACAAAAAGGTTGGTTTAACAAAAATGAAAATAAACCCCACATATATATGATTGCAGCAGGAAAACTTGTCAAACAAAGCAGACTTCAAACAGCATCAGTCAAATCTATTTGTCATGCATTATAGGTAGCCTATAGAAGAAAACTTTGGATTACTATAGAGATATTATTTAAGATAGGTAAAATGTGACACTGTCAAAAAAGGAGGTAGGAGAAAGAAGCAGGATAAAAAAAATATTAGCACCAAATAAAAACAAAATGTTTGCCATGACGTTTAAAATATTGGCAAGGGATCCCCAAGGACCCTGCACAGCCTTGGAGTTGGATCCTGCTGAGCTCTGACAGCCTTCCAGATGCTGTGGATGCCTCAAGCACTGCAAACACCTACAGAGGTTGCTCCATAACTTAGTGTGCAAGTGGAAATGGCAGCAGGGGAGCTCTAGAAACCATGCTGCCTAAGGAGGCAGATCAGCACGAGTCAAAGTGTTACCACTGGTTCAAGTTACCCCACTCCCTCCACTTGCCTTGGGATAGGAATTACATTGGACAATATTACCTGCATCAAAGGAAAGCACTTTCCCCCAAATATAAATAAATCAGTATTGCAAGAATATGATCTTGTGGAAAAAGCTTAGAAGACAAGGAGTATGATTAGAGGTGGATTGAAACAGATATTTAGTATTGTCTACCAAGGTAACTCAGCAGAGAATCCCACAGAAATGCACAGGCTATTGCCAATTTCACATTAGCCATTCAGCAACAATATGATCATATTATTAATGATAAATTAAGGATTGAAGAAAATAACAGGCTTTGAAAGCATACAATTTAGACTTTAATTATTAGTAGATTAAAGTAAACACAAGAATAATAAAACTAAGAGAAAGACATGAGAACACAATGGTTTTCTGACAAGCAAGGGAAGCAATATATTTATTTCAACCAAACTTCCCAGTGAAAGGAAAAAACCCCAGTCCATTAAAAAGAAATATAGAAACATGACTATATTCAAAATTATTACAGTTTAAATATTTTGTAGAACTCAAAATCTTTTGAAGGCCTATCCCACCCCTATTTAAATACTGCTGTAAACTGAAGTCTCATAAGAAAGGAAGTTTACAGTAATATATATTATTATTATTGCCGCTGGTATGGATCTGGCATTGTAATTCCTTGTTATGTAGTGCTGAAATACTAACTTGCTACCATACAAAAACTGACTTTCCCTACCGCCCTTCATTGACTATACAAAGAAAACTTAAATTCCTGATTCCCCTTCTAGTATCCGACATGGGCACAGCATAAAAAAAGCCAGGCACAGTACTCTTCCTCTCGCACTCCCATAAGCACACAAGTATTTCACGACATCGTATAAAAGAGTGTTATAACTATTGTGAAGCATTTGGTACTGAAGAAAGAAAGGAAGAGAGGAAGAGAGGAACGAACATGCCACGTTGGACATTTCCACAGGGGTGGTCCCTGTGACACATCGCAGTGACCAGGCTGCAGCAAGGGTCTGGAATGCACAAATCTACATACCTCAGCCATCCTTCTTGGCTGCTCTCCTCCTCTGCAGACTCTCCACTGTGCCCATCGGGCTGGAGCTATGCACACCTGGCCATGCAGCCTCACTGGTCCTCACCCCAACCTACCAACTGGGCTTGCCCTGGACTTACCTCCCCCATGAACCACAACCCTACCCCATCCTGATGGGTGGCTCTGCCACCCTGCAATGTTGACACACAAACACAAGTTGTAAAGTAAACTGTATGCATCATGCTCACTGTTGGCCCTCTCTGACAGAGCATACACAAAAGGGGAGAAAAATTTCCCTAACTTAAAGAAACTCAATTTCACCTCCTATTTCCATGCCCTATAAGATGCCTATAAATTGTTCCTGAGGGCACTTCCAGTGTTATTATGGGGCATGTCATTCACAGCCCTTCCAGGATAAAACCACTCAGCTTCACCATACAGTCTCATCGCTCCAATCAGAACTGTTAATGAGTTGCCCTAAGGTACAAATGGAAGACATTTCAGGGCACCATAAAAATTTATTAAAACAGATTCAGAAGGACGAACAGTAAGTACCACACAGCAGCTGACGCTCTCAGATTAATTATCTTTACATCCCAAAAAATCAATATTCAGTATCTGAGTGTTCCTGGTTCCTTGTTTGGGAGTTACTTGCTAATGTTGGCAATATAATGAAATAAAAGCTAGAAATAATACATTCTGTCCACTAGTAAATCATTATGAAAAATAATTTTTTAAATGTCTCCTCTGCACATAATGTCTTGTTTTATCAAATCTTTGCTCATGATTTCTTGTTTTTTGAAATTCAAAATCCTATGCAACTTTTTAAAGAATTTCTCTGTTCCACTACAAGGGGCATATTTTAGACAAACAGACCAATTTTAAGTTATTATTATGGCTCTAATGCCTTAAATTAATGTTACACTAAAAATTAAAGGCTTTTTAAAACCTATTCTGTAGTTTAGACAAGATGAAAATATGTCAAAATTATAAAGAAACTAGATATTGTGAACTAAACCAAAACAAACTTCAGGCAATTTATATATTAAATAATATAAATAAATAAATAGAATAGAACAATAAATAAATAATATAGTTTTTGCACTTTAGGCTCTACCTGATAAAAGAGGCCATGGTAGCTCAGACTCAGATCAGTGTTGTTATGCTTCCACGGAAAGGGTTCCACTGGCAAGGAAATGGAAAGTTTGGGCATACTGTATGCCATACACATTTAAAACCATGAAATTTTGCCTCATCCTATTGTTTCTTTTACAAATGGAATACAGAAATAGCCTGAGTGTTCCAATGATCTTCTTCTGGTGTTTACTACAGTGCATTTTGGATAAGTGTTTTACCAAGGGATAAACCTGAAATATGTGCCAACAGTGCAGAGGTGCTCTTCCCTTCTATCAGTGCTTGTTAAAAATCCAATTAAGAACAGGAACAAGTGAAATAAAGATGTGGAGGAAAGGAGAAAGGGAGGAAAGTGATGCAAAGTAATTGAAACATCACAGTGCAGCTTATACCTACATTCAGTTACAACAAATTGAAAGAAAACACATTAACTGTGGTAACATAGTTTAACAAGCAAAATTTCATAGACATATGCATCCAAAAGATCCAACCAACCCTTGTTCTTCACTCAAATTGTGCCCAACAAAACACAGGGCACTAAAAACATCATGTATATGAGGCTTTGCTAACCATGTAGCTGTATTTGATTGTGCATTTACAAAAAGCAGTTTTTACTGGCAAATACTTTCTTGAACTCAACAGTATCACAACAAAACTTCCCCTCCCAACACATGGTAATAAAATTTATGTCAAGTCTACTCCGTTCACATTTCCAATATTGACTATACCATGATATTTTCAAAAATGACCAATGTAAATTTAGAAAAAAAAATAATTGAATATTGAAATATCAGGTCATTAACTCCTTTGGAATGTTCTACTTTACCAGACACTCATACTTTCTTTAAATTAGAAATAAATAAGTTCCTTATAACTTCATTCTGTGAAATAATTTGCAACTGATATCACAAAATGATAAAGGAAATTAACTGCTAAGTCTCAGTGTTAATCAATGTTAATCACAGAGCATCACCTAACGCTATCCATCCTGATCAAACTGGAAAAAAGCTTAAATACTAACAGTGCAGAAAGTAGCTAAAGAAGATTGACCTCACTTATCCATTTTCCCCCCTCTGCATTCTAAAGGTATCCAACAGCTTCAGTTTTTATGTTAGTCTTTTAGACTGAAATAGATTGAATTGATTCTAATTGGAATACTTCCAAAATCACTTCTTTTTCTGCTTCAGTTTTATCAAGCCTATACTGTAACACTTCACGTTACACAGGTCTATGCACTTGCAAAATTCAACAAAATAAAAAAAAATAATCCTAAATTCTCAAAAAATTGAGAATGTCACTGATAAGAAAATATAAGCATTGAAGACCTTCTCATTAATGTTGCTTTGTCAGTAATCCATTGAAGCCAAACAGGTACTTATTTATCTTTGTCTTCACAAGTATTGGAGCAACTCTTTGCAAATTTGCTGCTTAAATTTCAACTTCTACCTCAAGTGTCATTATAGAGCAGGCAACACGCATATAGAAAGTCATCAAAATCTTGTTTTCTTGTTAAGAAAAGTTTAATAATATACCTATGATAAACACCACCTGCATCTCAGACAGAAGCTACTGTGCCAGAACAGCAACAAAAAAAGAACGCTTAGGAAACAAATTTGAATCCATATTTCTATAAACTGCATATAGCTGTCTTTCCAGACAACTGCTCAGTCACACCAGCGATTTACTAATCCAGCTCAGAGGGATTTCAAATATTGAGTCCTGTTATCACCCTACCACTATCAGAGGTGCCCAAAGCAACATCCTCATCTCTTGTCCAGTAATTGGGGAATGACAACAGACAGACTGAGTATAAAATCATATTGGACACAGGTGCCCGAGTCATCAGGTTATCTCTAATCCCTCCTATAAAACAGGTAACTTTATCAGGTGTATGTGCTGAAAAGGTTATCCACACAAAACCCTATGTTTTCCAACTAAGTGCGTGCTGGTAGTTACATGAAATGAAACTGAAAAGTTGCATTAAGGGGTCAAAAAGTAAGGAATATTGATTTGATAATAACTTCAAAACAGCCTGCAAAAGAGGGTAGATATAAACAAACTTTGTCTGACTTTTCTGCCATTTTTCCAGAGCCTTTACTTACAAAATGGATAAGAGCTCAGTTTATAGCTTGAAGTCACTAGACCAGCACAAACCATACCAGCTCAATCCCAAATTAAATGCAATATTTGATATCCTACGTAAAAAGAAGCCAACGAAGATTACAAATGTCTTATAAAGCTAGGAAGCAATCAGGGTAGTATTTCGCATGTCTCTGCAGAAACAACAGCAGGAAATCTATTTAGACATCCTACCTTCTTGAACTGCCTGAAACGGATTGTTGCCATCCACAAATGTCACTGAACACGTGATTTTCTCTGTTTGTAAGATTTCGTCATTCTGGTTGAGGTCAGCAACTGCCATTCGAAAAACTTCCTCATCTTTTTTGGCAGATTCATCAAAAATCGCCCCTGGGGAAAAAAAAAATAAATAAAATAAAATCATGTTGCACCTTTCATCTGCAGTATCCCAAAGCATTAATCATAAGCACTTATGACATATTTTATGCTATAACATCATCCCTTCACTCATTCCCAAAAAGCAATGTTCTCAATACAGAGCCCAGAAGTTACTTCACAGTATTTCTACATTTTGATATGATTTAAGACATAAATTGAAGAGAAACACCGATTCCAGCTAGAAATATTGGGGAAATCTAGTTAAGCTCAAAACAAATTATCTGGATAGGAATACAGCCAAGAAATGAGAAACAATTACCTTTCCAGAGGTGCCATTTAATACATTGAATGACTGCAACGGGCAAGGATATACATTTAACATCATGTCTAGTCACAATTAAAAAATACAAAGTTCAAATGAGGTGAGAATAAGCCTACAATAGTAGCAGCACTGGGAAAATGAGTTAGAATTGACAACCACGATCAATAGACAGGTCAGCAGCTGATATAAACTATTTCAGGTCTAATTCCTATTGGATTTGTAAAACAACCACTCCAGCTAGCTGTCTCAGTCTTGAAGTCAGTAAATTAAGTTCAAGCAGTTAATTAAAATAATTTCTGCCTTTATAAATCTGACAGAAAGTGACTGTTCTGCCTTTTTCCCCAAAACATTCAAGCAGAGCATTGTAAACAGGAAACCATTAGACTCAGGAGGAGCTGGCAGAGGATGTCCAACCCTTGCACAACCAATTCTTCAGGTGCACTGAAAAATAACTCCAAGGCTAACCCAGAAGTTTCAGCTTCTTTTGCTTTCTTTAAACTATAGTGTCACTTTTAGCACCACTAGTCTCCTATTATTTTACATTTGCTTCTTGGATGAACTGATTACGCAGAGATGGCTTAAATTACATTATTACAGACCTATGTAAAATGCTATATTGTTTAAAACCCTCAAATCGGGGCTGTTAGATTTTCAAGCACCTTAAAGCTTTCATTTCCAGGCAGCAGACTAAAGAGACAGAAGGGATGGTTCAAAAACATACTTTTGGAAAGTGCATTTAATCATTATGAAATTTCTTCAGTCTTCAGGTTTATTTATTCTCAAGAGTCCATTGTCAATACAAAACTCAACTAAGGCAGCATACGTTGCAAGGCGGCCAAAGATAACAGACAATGCTGATCACTAATGATTTCAGGTAAATACCCTCAATCAGTGCTAAAAAGAACTGAAAAAGATCCATTTACAGGAAATGGCTACTTTAAGAGAAATAAACTTCATACACAGTGTTTATCGTGTTTTTTCCACTGACCTCCAACGCTCATCTCCCTGCCAGCACCACTCATCCTACATGAGCATCATCTCTTCCTACAATCTGACCGCTTTGACTCCAGCATTTTCCCTCCTGAAGCTGCTGCCATCTGGAACAGCTGTTCTTTACTTCTCCACCTCATTCACCTGTCATCTCTGTGCAAATCTCAGCTGAAAACATTCATTTTCTCCCTTGCTCCCATTTCTAATTTCCCTTGTTTTATCTACCTCCATAAAGCAAAGCTGCACACAGCTGAGAATACGCTTGGTATGCAGGATGCTGCAAACCGTGTCTTCTCTACAAAGACAACTATTTGTGTAACCAGGTAGCATTTAAGGATACAAAATACTTCGTCCAATGACATATATTAAAACATGTTTGTTTCTAACCTCACAGAAATGCTCAAACCAAAACCGCACATACTTCATTTTGGGGATACACCTATACTGATGATGATAACATAGCCCAGCAAAAATTATTAATAAATATTTGAAGGTATAATTTTACGTGACTACTAAGTAACAAGGTTAAAATTAAGAAGAAAAAAAAAGTTGGAAAATAATGATAGTAATTAGTCAAATTCTATCCCTGTAGAGCAATTCTGTAACAAATGCCACACTGGAAGGAAGTGAACAAACATGGGTTTCATGCACACGCACAGGGCAGCTGTTGACTATGTTGCAGAACAGCATGGAAAAACAAAGACCTTCCAGCCAACATTGCAGAGTACAGCTTCTTATTTTACAGCTGGGAAATGTCATATTAAACCTGGCTTTGTCCCCAGAATAATCCAGGTCATTTATTGAGTAGAGGATACAGAAAAGTCCAAGTTACCAGTGTTTCTTTTGCACGTGCCATCACAAAAATCCCCTTCAGCCTCACAGCCCTTCCATTGGGCAGCAGCAAACTGCTCCCAAGACAGTGCATTCACCGGACCAGGATCAAGTTTCTCGACAGATGAACCTTCTTGAAAATTTTTCTTGTTTCTTTCACACACAGATATTCCTAATAAACTCCTATGCTTTGTCTCCCATTTCTCAGCCTGACACAAATCCTACTTCTGATGGCATGTGTATGTATATGAACCAGGTTAGATGTAACTCCATGCAGTCTTCACAAATGAAGCTCTTTCTCACTGTAGTACAATTGCTCCAGTTTTGCTCTGACCACTGGCTCTATGTATCAGATTCAAATTTCAACATTTCTCCTCTAATCAACACTACATCTGACATTTTAAACAAGCTACTTCACAGAAATGAGACAGTACCTTTGCTCTAGTGTAGTAGCCTTACCTAGGCTGTACCTATCTCCATAGGTAAAACTAATAAATATGTAGGTGAATTACAAAAAAAGTTGTAACCATAGATCCTGTCTGAATTCCTGTTAGGAATTCGATTGTCTTCCTCCAGAAACTGAGGCCTTATTCATTAGAGTATCTAACTCAGCTACACAAAAAGCCTTTTCAGATATAACAAAGATGACACTGTTCCTTTCAGGAGATGGCAGTGCACAGCAGCACATGCATTACACTTCAAACAGTGATAAGAAAATTTATTTCATAATTAATTCTCAAAGTTTAATTTCAGTTTTCAATTAAAATAGAAAAAAAAACCCATCAAAAACCAAACCACAAAAACCCTGAATCATTTTGAAATTGTTCCTATTCTCATACATACATTTTTATGTCCCTGTGTTTTATTTCCACTATATTCCATGTGCCTATATATTTCTATACATTATACAGGTGAGTGACTTATTTTTCTTTGCTTGTTTTATGAAAGAAGGCTTTTCAATGAAAAGGTAAAAAGGCATTTTTTCGATTGTGCTAACATTGCTGGAATATTTTGCTTTTTCTGTAGTCTCAGAAATCATTCTTTGATTGACAGGAGTGAATTTTCTGGTGTGAAACAGTTCTATCGAAATTTTTACAGCTATCTCAAAATGCAGCCCTTAACTACTTTTGTATTAGGTATGATTTTCTTTCCCTGCTGCGGCCTGAAATCACACTAAAGTTTTGATGCTTATTCTTTCAAACTTAGCCTTTTAACCAAGTCAAACAAACAAACACACCAAATGAACAAATAAAGGATATCACACTTGAAAATTACTGCTATAGGGAGAGCTACATGCTGTCTCATTTCCTCATGTGCGACACCAAAATGAGAAAACTGGAATGACCGCAAACTTATTTGGAGTATGCGTCAAAAATGAACCCTTTCGGCTACAGGAAAAATTGTTACAAAAAGTAAGGTGTAGCTGAGGAGAGAAAACAAATTATTCCTACAGATACTGTAAAACAATCTCTAGAAACAAAACTATTTACAAAGGGGAAAAGTCTTCAGTAGATACAAAAGTAGATACCGTTCATTGTTCTTCCACCCCTACTGCTCACCTCAGCTGAAACAGACCTCACATTAAATATGTCATTTCTAACTGTACTCAAGGAGTATTCCCATGATTGCATCAGGAGCGAACATGCTGACACAGCAACTACTTTGCACCAGTTTCCCTCCCACCCCCTTTTATTAGCATATCATTACTTTCAGCTTTATTTTAGAATTGGATGAGGACAGCACAAATATAATTCTCTACTGGCTTTTTAAAAACCCTCAGCACATCAATAATGTCCTGTAGCTTAGCAGAGAATTATTTGTGTTTAACTGCCTCATTTGGACTCAACCATGTCACCAGAAATCTGTCAATTTAAATGAATATAGACCAAAACATACAAATGCTCGATAAGTTCATCATGTACCAATAACATCATTAGAAAGGCTTTTCAAAGATCCCTCGTACTAATGACCCATACATATACAAATATAATTAAATTAGATATTATCAGCTATTTCTAGAGTAATTTGCAGAGTCTACTGGTATCAGCTCAGAAAATGTAAACATGGGAGAGAAATGTCCATGCAAGGAGGAAGCATGAATAGATTTAAACCAATCACTGCTCATCTTTCTGTTGACTAAGGAAGGACAAAGTCCACTGCTTGCAGTGTTGTCAAGTATTATAATTTTATTAACTATGAAAGTATGACACTTCTGGACCTCAGTGCCCCATGTTAGTCTCAGAAAATTAAGTACTTTGTTTCAAAGAGGAGGGGGAGTACACGGATTAAATGCCATTGTGAACTGAGGTCACAGTTCAATTTCAGCACATAAATTTGATTTTTACTTTATAACAATGCACACGCATACCTCACCAATATACACTTTGCCCAATAATTTACTAGTTCACAAGTCCAGGAAAGTTTGGAGAGAAAAAAAAGAAAAAGGAGAAGTGTAAAACAGTAACGTTTTAAGCAACTATCCAACGTTCTCAGCACCTGCTCGTTCTATGAAGATTCTTTGTCCCACAGATATTGCCAGCCTATTCCATTGTCTGAATCCAATTCCACTGTATTTTCTCAACCACTGATAATACATTATTATTCTGAAGGAGAAATTTAACGCAGCTGCTAGGAGAAGGATGACCATGCTGCTAACACTCAGAACTGGAAGCTGGTGGTTTTGAGTCCTCATGGCAAACCTCATCTGAGATGTCCTGCAGGGCCATGCACACATTGACGCAGGTCTAGCTCCCCCATATGAAATAAGGTTAGGAGACATTAATTTCTTGGGGCTTAAATGAACGAGACTGATATTTGAGAACATGAAATACATTGTAGACTAAAACTCCATGTTATTTCTAGGCCAAAT